ATTTTTTTTTTTTTTTTTTTTTTCCTTGTTGGAAAGGGAAAAGGTGTCCTGTAATGGTTGTCTAGCGACATGTTAATCCACTGAAAACGAAAATTTCTGTAGATTCACTCCTTATTCCATAATCCACCAACATCGTTGCATTTGGCAATTCAAGCTTAGAATCTACGTCTCTCTCTGTCTGTGCAATTTTCTTGCATTATCTCTTTAAAATCGACCCGGATTTATTGAACCCAGCTGAATTCAATACCACAAAAACAAGAAAATTTCCACATTTCAAAGATACGATGTCGTACGAGGAGGACGAGGAGACCTTCGAGCATACCCTTTTGGTAGTCCGGGAAGTATCCGTTTTCAAAATCCCGCCCCGATCAACTAGCGGTGGGTACAAATGCGGCGAGTGGTTACAGTCCGACAAGATCTGGACGGGTAGGCTCCGGGTAGTGTCCTGCAAGACCCGGTGTGAGATCCGCCTCGAATATCCAAATTCCGGCGAGCTGTTCGCAGCCTGTTTTGTGAATCCAGGTCAAAGAGAGAGCTCCGTTGAACCAGTGTTGGACTCGTCGAGATACTTCGTGTTGAAGATCGAGGATGGGCAAGGGAAGCACGCGTTCATAGGGTTAGGGTTTAACGAGAGAAATGAAGCGTTCGATTTCAATGTTGCACTTTCCGATCACGAAAAGTATGCGAAGAGAGAAGGCGACAAGGATGTTGGCGTCAATGGTGGTGGTGAGGGGAGCAATGAGGAGAATCATATTGATATTCATCCAGCTGTGAATCATCGATTGAAGGTAATTTCTTAACTTTTCTTGTTTTGGAACTTCTAGAGTTGTGTAAAAGGCTTAAATATGCTTAGAGGATGAAGTGAGAACTAAAAGAGTTTAAATCTCGGTCGTAATTATTGTCTTCATGTATACTGCTTTATTGATGATAATTCATTGAGTTCGAACTTTGATGTGATGTTTTTAATACTTGAGATCATCCTATAACTCATAAATAGTTTCCAATTTAGTTTTCTTGGTTTTAGAGGGAAACTAGGATTACTGTATCTAATAGTTGATGCATCAGAATTTGAGTTCACCAGTTACCTATTATTTTTTTTTTCCAGGATTCATATTGCTAAAGATTTCTTCCTGTTCTTATATATAATGTAAGCATCATTGCATGTTTGATCTGTAGGAAGGGGAAACCATTCGGATAAATGTGAA